TTTTGAGTGAAGTAATGCTTAAAATGTACAACATGAAATACACTCAACTCAGATCCAGATCTGTATGCAGAACAGAGCGTGGTAAATGTTGAGTTCTGCAAGGTTAAACCTGCACCAGGATGACTGAAAGTGAAAACTGCATGATGAAATTACAAGCAAGCCAATTTGGTTTTGATGAAAGTCAGCTCGGTCCCTGTTGACTTGTTCTTACCCTGCTAATGAATGCTAACAAGAGATTTCACTGTTGATGTGTCAGACATCTGTCACACAGGCATAATGAGTTTCTGAGAGCTCTTTAAAGAGCTGTGGATTGTGATAAACTTAGCAGATGTCAAACCTGCCCTAATGTTAAAACAAGGCTTTTAGAAATGAGTCTGCGATAAAGACAAATCAATTTAAAAAGGACAAGAGGTGAACCAGCAGAGGAACACGTCAAACAAAAATGAGAATTACTAAGACAGACAAAAAGGGAGGATGGATAGAGACTGAGAGAGAGGTAGAGAGAGTGAAAGGAAATTGAAAGGAAACTGTTGTGATAATGCAGAAATCCTATGATGATGGAGAAAAACAGATGCAAGAGGAACAAAAAAGAGGAAGATGAAGACAAGACTGCAAAGAAGAAGCGGCAAGCAGAGGACAAACCGGGATACAGAGAGAGGATGGATGAGAGAGGTGTGGATCTGAGCTGTGGATCTGAGGTTGGATGGGCTGATGGAAGAGGAGGGGAAGTCCAGGGACAGTCAAAGCCCAAAGAGGAGTTAAGGGGGGGGCTACAGAGATCTCCTCTGAGGAGCACAGGATGAACAGGTGGGAGAAGATGTGGTACTTCAAAGTAAAGACCAATCTATGAGGTTTGAGTGTGTGTGACTGTACATAGGCACACTGTCTGTAAGTCTGCTCCCTAAAGAGAGAAGGCCTGAAACCCTTCAATACCTTTAACAAAAACCTTTACACTGATAAAGTGAAGCCTCCCTCAGATTTGAAAGGTAGGTGTTAAATGTTAAAGATCTTTATTTAACGCAAAATCTCCTCACATCTATAATTTAAAAGGTACTGATTGGGGTCATTGTGGATTTCAGCCTGAAACATCTATCCTGGTGAAATATGAAGATTTTGTCTTCTTGGTACACAGTCAGTGAGGAGTTGAAGAAACAGTTACTTTGGATGTCTAAGTAAATAAATGTCAGGAGTTATAGAGGCATTTGCTTTACAAGACAATTACCAACAAACCTAAGGTTGGTACAGGTGAATTGTGGGTATTAAAGCATTACAGCCCTTAAAGATAAACATGTGGTATCTGCCTTACAAATGACAAACAGAGGGCAAACTTTTTAAGTCCGTTTATTTCAGGTGCAGCCTCTGATTGGTCGACGGACCAAATCAAAATGTCAGGCTTCATTCAGCATAGTCATCAAACAGCAGATATAACACAGTTTTACTCAGATTTGTTCTCAAATCACCACCTTTGTTTGCACCTCTATGATCACTGTGTTCAAGAAACGCTTTTGAATGTCTCAGAAACATCATAGAGTTGATCCCCTGAAGGCTGCTGGATTTAAGTGTGAGTGGATTTTAAAGTAATTTGCTTTATTAAGTAGTTCTGTATTCAGAGATAATAAACTAACTACTCAACCACAACAATCACACAGCATATGACGGTGTTTACCTGAATATAGGACAACCCCACATTCACAGAGTAAGAAAAATTCTCCTCTACTAAAATCAGTAGGGTAATAGAATTAAATATAAACACAAGTGTAGATGTTTGTATTACAGTCAAGTTTCCGGGCAGATGTATAGGTGTCTGTAATAAAAGGTCACCATGTTTAAAGTTAGGTACTGAAAGTTGTTGCTGTTATGTAGTATACCAATGAGGGTTTGGGGTTTTGGTACCCTCTGGGTCAGTAAACCAGGGCTAATAAGACAAAGACTCGAGTCAAAGATCCAAATACTTCAGGAGAGCTGCATGTTTGTTAACTCGCAACACTGATGGGACTTCTCAATTTGCATGGAGATTTAATTTAATTAATGAATATTAAATTATGCAGCTAAGGAGGGTGGCTGCAGAGCAACACATTTGCATTGAAACTGAGCTGCTCATCATCCATGAGCGAGCTCTAGAGAAATTGATTTAGAATTTAATTTTGAAGTTAGGGGTAGCCATCTTCAAGGTAGGAGGAGGGAAGTGTGTGTCTTTTTAGTTGAAGTAGCAGGTGTGCACACTCGGTAGTGTCACATGTGGGCAGATTCTTGCTGTTGTGTCATATGGCTGCAAGAGTTCAGATACCTCAGGTTCTCTTCTGAGACGTGTTTGACCAGTGACACAGATGGTTGGGCAAATGTGGCTTCTGCAGGAACAGTGACAATGGTTTTTAGTGTATCAAGGCGAAAATATTCTGAGTTTAGCTCATCTTTCTTGGGGCTGAGACCAGGTCTTTTAATGGTACAGTCTGAGACAGTGTTACATATCGGACACAAATGTCCAACACAGAAATAACTTCATAACCACAGCATTATGTGAATATCCTGAGGGAAAGTAACTGTGAGTCCTTCCAGTTCAGTCCTTCCGGTTGTCTCTATAAGCACTATATGTTGAGGCGCCTGTCTTTTGTGTTTTCTTTTCTCTGTCCAGTGTTAAATTCATTATTGAAAATGACAATAAATGTTCACACTGTCTCTATCTTTCCTCTTATGGTCATTTTCTCTCCTTCTCTTAGTCCTCCCACATATCCCAAGGAGACACAATTAGTGTCCCTCCAAATACTCCTGTTACAAAGAAGGAGAAAGTACGCGGGTGGATGATATCTTTGTTTTACTTTGACCTTAAAAACTCTGGGATTGGCCAGTAGATCGGTGGTGGAGGTAGTGGTGGTGGGCAGTTAACTTTTTAATGCGTGTGATATTGGCAGCACTGTACCTTTCTGTATCTGTTCATTCCTTTATAATACTCTCAGGACTGAAGCACATTTAGAGTTTCCAAGTCTCTGGGCCCTCTTATGAGCTTCTTTAGTCTATCGGTGGCCCACACAGTGCCTGTTCTGTCTTCTTCTTCACTTGTGATCAAAGTCAGGGAAACCCACCAGGGTTCAGAACTGCAGGCAGAGTAACACACAGCACAAACTGAACCAGTTCTGATCTGGTTGAATCCTGTTAAGCTACATGATTACTGGAGTATTGTTAATCCAAGTAGAGACTCAACAGGTTCAGAGATACAGCAGTAAAAGTCAATTTAGATAAAAAACACCTCTTCTTCCAGCAGCACACTGAGACAAACTCAACTCCACCTCTGTTTCCACCTCATGGTAGATAATGTACGGTCTTATGTATATGGTGTAAATGTGTGTATGCATATGAAGGTGTGTGTGTGTATGTAGATATGTAGGTATGTGTATATGTATGTATGTTGGTGCATGTATGTACACGTGTGTATATGTATGTGTAAGTATATACGGATATGCATGTATGCATATATAGATGCATATATATACATATATTATATATTTATATGCATACATATATATATATTATTTATATTGTCGTGTAATTCAAAACCAGGTTTATTTATTTATTTTTTTGCTTCTGTTTTGTACAGATTTTTTATTTTTTATTTTTGTGCTGTTTCTCTTGTTTTCTATCTTTGAAAGTATTTTCTAAAAGTGAGGAAAGGGTGGGCACGATAAGCCATGGGCTTCAGCCTACACTTTTTTTTGGTCCAATGATATAAATGAAATGAAATGAAAAGTGTAATTATTACATTTTGGGACCAAAAATAAACTGAACTAAACTGAACTGAACTGAACTTTTATTGGTTAAACTTGTGTCACTTGGTTTACTAAGCGTCTTTATCTGTCATCATGACTATGAGCCACGACTCAGTAGGATGGGTACACTGACTTCATTGATAGATGGCACCAAAGACTGCCACCACGAGAACAGCAACCTCTGGTGACAGGCTGCAGTATAGGTTATAAATCCCACCTCCTCCAGCAATCCCTAAAGAGTTGTGGACAAACTTTGGAAATTTACTACACAGAATATAAATTTTTCTCCCCCCTGGTTGTGATGTTGACATGTAGACACTGTAAGACTGGTTTGTGCCCAAGTCCTCTTTTTTTCTGTACAGCTCCATTTTTAAAAGTTATTAGGGGGTTCATGTTTTCTATGTAGGACATGTTTTCTATGATTGACACTTGATACAGCCTATGGGTGTACGAAGATTGCGTAGCTCACCGGGGGGATACACTGTTTGATCACAACAACTCTCAGCCCCCCCCCCCAGGAAATGGAGAAAATCCCTGAAATACTGAGAGCAATTTGGCTTCAAATTTCTATAATAAAGGAAGGCAGGCCCAAGTTGCCCATAGTATATACAGTCAATGGTCACCCTCTGTTATGACTAACAATGGCAATAACTAAACAAGTGTGTATCATGGAGAATAGACGTTGGCTCTATTACCAAACAATGTAATAAAGTAGAATAAACTAAGTATGCTGAATTTATCAAATAAGCTGCGCAGTGTTTCCATGACATGTTCTATGTGAGATTTGTTTTGTCTTTTTCAACGAGAAATTGAGAGAAATTGTTTTCTTTGAGTGTGATAAACTGACTAAACACATTCAAAGTTGTTTTGCAACATACCGGTCAGCCTAACCATCGCTGAACTTTTCCCATTTTCTTTCAACCCATTTAGCTACAGAGCCTAGGTAAGCTGTTTCATTCATTAACTAACACGGCCACAAAGCCTGCAAAATTGAACGATACTAGTTAATGTACAGGAAGCTGGAATCACCTGCAAAGCATTGCTGCTGGTCGCACCTCCTCCGGTGCCCATGGGTCAGCTGCAGGGTCATCAGCCAGGAACCACCATTCACCAACGTTTCACTCCTTTAATCCTGGAACGTTTCCTGGTGGTGGAGCAGTGACAGGGACGTCTCCCTGTCACCCCCTGCAGCTGACGGGCCTGACTGACAGCTGTTACCCCCTGCTGCTGTTTTTGGGGTTAGGTGTTCTTTCCCCAGCACTTGTCCTTCCTCCTCAGCCAAAGCCAAAAGCTCCCCTTCTCAGCCTCCTCTGCAAGCTCTTTGGTTGCTTTCTTGAGGTTTCCTCCGGTCACTCCTGCATCCTTCAAGGAGCGTATGGTTGACATCCCCACAAAGCCTCGGCATCCGACCTCCACTGGGTAGATGGTGGTCCTCCAGCCAGCCTCCCGGCACTCAGCGGCAAGGTCGGAGTACTTGGCCTTCTTCCGTTCGAAGGCGGCCTCAATCCCCTCCTCCATTGGCACCGTGAGTTCGATGAGGTGTACGGATTTCGCCTTGGTGGACCACACCACTATGTCAGGCCGGAGAGGTGTGGTGGTGATCTCAGTGGGAAAGCGGAGCTGTCTGTCTAGGTCGACCCTCATGTCCCACTCCTGGTCGGGGGCAAACGGCCTGGATGTTTCTCTTGGCCTGGTGTTTCTTCTTCCCCCACCCTCCGTGACAAAGCTGATGTGGTTCCCTACTGGTGGTGACCCTTTGTTGCCCTGTCGCTGCCCCTCTAGCACCTCAGCCAGCTTCCTCAGGACCTGGTCGTGGCGCCACCTGTAGCGTCCTTGGGAGAGTGCGATCTTGCAGCCTGACAAGATGTGCTGAAGGCTTGCGTTAGGCTCACTGCAGAGTGGGCAGCTCTCCTCACTCCCGAACCACTGGTGGAGGTTCCGCGGACAGGGAAGCGTGTCGTAGGTTGAGCGGACAAGGAAGCTGAGTCTTGCCTGTGGGATCTTCCATAGGTCTGCCCACCTGATGTTTCTGTTGGCTACTCCTTCCCAGGTTGTCCAGCTACCCTGTCGGCCCTGCGACACGGCCTTGATCTTGTAGCGCTCTTCCTCCGTCCTTGTCACCTCCGCCACCACCAACTCCTTCCTCTCTTTGCGGCTGGCCTTGGACCAGAACCGTGGCGCTTCCCCCCACCCTAGTCCTGCTCTTCCTGCCTGGACTCTGCCAACAATCTCTTGATGTTGCAGTCGACCAATGGCTCGGTCGACTTCAGTTTTGGCGTTCCACTTCCGGCCTGTGGGAACCTTGGCGTTTGCGTTCCGTACAGTCTGGTCGGTGGACTCTCTCAGTTCGAGGACAAGCCTGGTCTTTTCCTGCATGTATCCCAAACTGATTGATTGCAACGGCAGCTGTAGTGTGTTCCTTCCAAAGAGGCCAGTTTCAGAGAGGCACCGTGGCAGCCCCAACCACTTTCGGATGAATGAGTTGGCTTTTCCATCCATCTTACTTGCAGTGGATGAGGGGATCTCACTCATTTTCAGCGGCCACATCACCCTCCTGTAGAGTGTGAACTGGTAGCACCAGACTTTGAACTTCCCAGGGAGCTGGCTTCGGTCGATCTTTGCCAGTCCTTCTGACAGCTGCTTCATGACGCTTCTTCCCATCTGTTTGTCCGAGAGCTCTGCAGTGTACTGTCTGCCAAGGCTTCTAATGGGTTGCTCAGAGAGGAGTGGGATTTTCTCTCCCCCTACGACGAAGATGGTACTGTCGCTTCGGACTCCTCTTCTGAGGGACAGGCTCCGTGATTTTGAGGGCTTGATCTTCATTCGTGCCCACGACATCAGCTCATCCATTCTTTTCAGCAGTCTCGATGTACATGCTGCTGTCTGAAGGAGGCTGGTGACGTCGTCCATGTAGGACCTCAACGGGGGTAGTCTCTGCCCGGATGGTAATTTCATCCCTCCAACCATCTGTCTTGCTCCGATGAGGATAACCTCGAAGGCAGCCACAAATAGAATTGGAGAGATTGCACAACCCATAGCGATTCCTACCTCGAGCCAATGCCAACCGGTGGTGAAGTCTTGGAGGCTAAAGCACATCTGCAGGTCATTGAAGTAGGATGCTACGATGTTCTTGATGCAGGAAGGTATGTGGAAGAACTCCATGGCGTAGTTGATCAGCTTGTGTGGGACTGATCCATACGCGTTGGCAAGATCAAGCCAGACAACATGCAGGTCACTCTTCTCCCGCTTGGCCTTCTGGATCTGTTCCCAGATCATTGTGGAGTGCTCTACACACCCTGGAAAGCCTGGGACTCCCGCTTTCTGTCAGTTGGTGTCTATATAGCCATTCTCTAGCAGGTAGTTGGTCATCCTTCTGGCCAAGACTGAGAAGAAAATCTTCCCTTCTACGTTCAGTAGTGCGATGTTCCTAAACTGGCTGATGTCTTTGACAATGTATTTAGAGCCAAACTGGTCTATAACACCACTAATAATACAATCTAATGATAACACAGTGTAACAACAGTGGTAAAGGACACCTGTTGAACTGATCTGCATTAACATACAACAGGCATGTCCAAGCTATTCCACAAAGGGCCGTGTGGCTGCAGGTTTTTCTTCCAACCAATCAAGAACACACAGTCTGACCAATCAGCTGTCTGCAGACTGAGATCAGCTGATGAAATGAATCAAGTCTGGTGTGCTGCTGCTTGGTTGGAAGAAAAACCTGCAGCCACACAGCCCTTTGTGGAACAGTTTGGACATGCCTGACATACAACACTGTAATACAAATCCATGAAACATATGGATGTTGGCATTTATCAGGTTCACTGAATGACTGGTTTTAAGCCATGTCGTCAGATGACAGGTAAAACCCTACCACCAGGACAGTGGTCAAGCTTGAGCACAGCAGACCTCTCCTCTGATGTGCACTTTGTTGATTCAGTATGTCAAAGCTCTCATTAGTGTGAAGGAAAGTCTTTGTTGTTTTCCCAAAGACTGATTTGCATCACTACTGTTCCTGAAACCCAGAGCTGTTTCTCCTGTAAAGACCTTCATGAAAGCTGTGCGCTAATGGCTTAAAAAAGAGGTAATATAGATGCTAACGGCTAGCCTCAGATATTTTCTGTAAAGGTAGAACCTTCAGGTTGTTATGCGATGACAAAACTGTAAAAGCAGCTCCACAAAGTGTTGAACCTTGTGCCAGTGAAAAAGATCTAAAACAAAGCCTTTTAGGCCGACTGGTGATGAAGAGGAGTTTTCACAGATACCAATGTGAGATAAACCAGGAGATTTCTGAGCTGCAAATAATGCACAGCTATACTATAGATGCATACAATACAAGGCGTGGATAAGTAAAATAGGTCCCCTTTAAATCACTGAGTCACTTGTCACAGCACATTAGTCATCATGGTTGAAGTATTTACTGATGACATCTGCTGCTGAGTCTCACACAGTTTCTGGTTAAAGCCTTTTACGTCAACTGTCTGTAATATGACAAGCTACAAATAGCACTTTTCTTTGCTCTCCTATTTTATAATAAGCTTAAAAAGGCCAGTCATGGCAGAGGCAATGAGGAAAGTTCTGTGCAATCAATTAAAGTGGTGGCAGAAAAGAGGAGGAGGAGGACAGATCAAGAGTCACAGTCTTCCTAAGCGGCAGGAGCTGAGGCATCATGTGAAGTAAAGAAATGGCCTTTCTGAAATCCCTCCTAAATGAATCAATGGCAGCTTAAATAGAAAGACATTTAATAAAGCAGCTTCTTATCTGAGTGAGTGAGGAGGACGGCTTTAATAAGAGCCCAGGTCCCTATTAGCAGTGAATTATTGCTGCGGGTGTGTGTTTCACCAAGAATAAAGTGAAAAAAGGACTCACATTCTTTTAATGAGAAACTGTGTCGGTGCTAATGTAAATATATTTATTATAAAATAGAAAAGCAGAGGCATGAAAATACAAAAATAAATACATAAATAAAAAAACACCCACCTGGCATGATGAACTCTTTTGTTCCTTTGTAAGAACTGGTCTGCATGTATGTGGACATATTGGTACTGTGTCAGAGTAGCACTGACCAAATCTGGGTACTGTATTAGACTGCTGTCAGTCATTGTGTTCACATGTTGTTATAAAAATATCTGAAACTGGACTTTTAGAATTGTTTAAACATGTTTGTCAAATGTGTTTACATCATAGTGTGTATATATTATAAACAAGATAGATAGATAGATTTATTGGTCCCCGTGGAGAAATTTGTCTTCACCAACTGTACATTACATAAAAGGAAAAAAAAGCACATTACATGGGAACAGACAACTAATGACAAACACCCGGACAACAGCAATCGGCAACAAGCAGCAAGGAGGCAACAGGACAGATTATTCAGCGGGGCCTACTATTCAGGGCATCTATAGCTGCAGGGACCAGGCTTTTCCTAAAGCGGGCCTTGCAGAACCTTAGGGTTCCGTACCTGCACCCTGAGGGTAGGAGGTTGAAGTATTTTTCGAGTGGGTGAGTGGTGTCTTGTGCTATGGAGTTTGCTAGATGGTTTGTTAGATGGTTAGATGGCGCATGCCCTGCTACACTGACTGTACCCTATGTTATGTTGTGTTAACGTCTGAATGATAAAGCCATGACAACAAGCTACAAAGTGATCACCATTTTTCTGGCAATCCTATGGCTAATCTGCGATAGCATCACACTCCAGCCCGTCGCTGGCAATGGACTGCTCACCTACAGCTGAGATGAACTCTTGCTACACCGGGCCTAACTGTGGAGTAACATCAGACCTGCCGTGGTTCAACAGTCGGAGCTCAAGCCGAGGAACAGGGGGAAACGCGGGGGTATCCGAAGCAGGGTAAGGAGATGTCCTTTCAGACCTCCCCTCCCATTCGGCGGGAGAGTCGTTGTGATGGCGCTCGACTCAAACAGGGTATTCTTCGGGTGAGCTACACAATCTCTGTATACCCATAGGCTTTATCAAGTATCAATCATAAAAAACATGAACTCCCCTAATAAGGGGGTGCTGCAAAGAAAAAAAGGGACTGGAGCACAAACCAGTCTTACAGTAACAACATGTCAACATCACAAGCAGGGGGAAGGAAAAATTTGTATTATGTGTAATTAATTTCTAAAATTTGTCCATACCTCCATAGAGATTGCTGGAGGAGGTGGGGTTTATAACCTGTACTGCAGCCCGTCACCAGAGGGTGCTGTTCTTGTGGTGGCCTCACCCAGCAAGGAAGCAGACGGCGTCCATTCTATATACAGTCTATGGTTTACATCATTTTAAAAATCCAGTTTTAGTTGGACTGAGCTGTAAGGAGGACATGCTTCTGTTCATAGTTTGGTTCTTGCCTTCTGCATGTAAATTGGGACAAAGACAGCCGTCCAATTGGAGTTAAGTTGAGAAAAAGATTAAAGTCTATTAAGATTTCATAAATGAGCATACACACGCTCATCATTGCTAGTCAAATACAAGAGCACATAAAATGTGCAAAACGTTGTTGAACTCCGGTGAAGACTGTTTTTCCAAGCATCACTGAGCAGTTTTAGTACAGGTTCATGTTGTGTACCTCTGTCTTGAAATGTTATATTTTTCACAGCAAACCTTGCCAACCTGTAGGTGAAGCCTTGCATGTTCAAAAGTAGTGCCAGATGGGTACCCACAGCATTACAAATAATCATAGTAACACCAACCAAGCTGCATTTTTCATGAATACGAAGTGAAAACCTTTTCAGGCACATGCTTGGCATCTGAAGAAATAGCAACCTCCCCCTACACATTACATTCACAAGCATTTAAAGGATGTTTGGCTTTAAAATGAAGGAAATGAATCATGGCAGAACACTGTCAAACTGTCAACACATGTAGGACTGTAGAGGATCTGGAGCTTGAACATGAAACAGTAATGCATACAAATCTCAGTGAAGCTGACACTGCTGCAACTTTCCTCTTCTATATACTGCAGAGGAGTTCAGAGCAGGGGCCAGAAACTGGCAGCCCTCGGCCAAAGCTGTCCCACCCACAATGATATGTGATCCTCTCTATAGTGTCTTCTATCTATCTATCTATCTATCTATCTATCTATCTATCTATCTATCTATCTATCCATCCATCCATCCATCCATCCATCCATCCATCCATCCATCCATCCTCGTGACATCACTGACATGGCAGCGAGAGTGAATCATTGCAGATAGTTGACCTGAAGCTGAAACGAAGCCTCACTGCAGCAGCAGTTATCGCCAGACTCACATCATGTCTTTGCCTATTGAAAAGTGTGTTTTTTAAAAAACTTTACAATACAATATAGCCACAGATTCAAGATGGTAAAGGTCTCAAACAGGTCAGTTATGAGTTTATTTACGCCCCATGCAGTGATGAAAAAGACAAGTTTTACTTACTTCACATGGTACGAAGTCCAGACACACACCCGTGGCTCTCTGTTTACGTCTGTGAACAGACTGCTGCTGCCTAAATGAGCATGTTTAAAACTCATCCTTACAATTTGTTGCAAATTCCTGTTGCATCCTTTTACTTCATCAACTTTTAAAAAATAGCCTGTGAAAATTTCCTTTGTATGCCTGCATGAGAGCATGATCATTTTACCCAAGCTCAGTGCTCTCCTGCTCACTAAACTCTCACTTGCTGACTTTCAAGTAGTTTCCCTCCAGTGTCTCTTTCTCATGATTGACATGCAGTGGCCTACCAGGACAGACGTACTGGCCAAACTATGGTCACTTGGAAGAGTGTGCATGAATCCAAAACCTTTCTATTATGACATAAATGTTCAGTTTCTAAAACAAATGCAGTGATGGGGCAGAGCAGCAAATGAAAGGCTGTGCCGCAAAACAACCAAACAGCTGCAGTGACAGTGATCTGCACAACCCTGACACCTGAGCAGGGTATGATGGGACTGCTACAGACTACTACAAGCACATGATGTGGTTATTATCAGACTTCATAATGAGCGCAACCAAAAGAGCAATGCACTACTGGTGACTATGGCTATGTTCACACTGCAGGTCAATTCCGATTTTTTAACCATATGTGACACATATCTGATTTTTTCATGCAAGTCTGAACATTGCAATTCTGATTTTTTCAAATCCGACCCAGGCCTCTTTTGTATGTGGATATAAATAGGATATGTATCCAATGTGACTGCAGTGTGGACGCTCTGGTCGTGTTCATCCGACCTATACGTCATCAATATGCGACAAACGTCATCATTGGTCGACAACACAAACAGAAGCAGAAAGTAATTTTTGCTCTGTGCACGAGAGTCACTTCACGGACGCATTCTGTTCACATTAGATGCCACATTCGTTGTTGTAATGTGAACGACCGCACAAAAAGATTGGATTTAACAAAAAATCTGAATTGTGCATCAGACAAGAAAAACATGATTTTCATGGAAGCATAAACTCTGCCCAGGTGACTGCTGCTGAAATTAAGTCTCAGTCCATTTTATTTCTTTATCTGTGAAACTTCATTTCTGTACCAAAGTGGTGATCGAAACTAACAGATGTTTAGATGTTTTCCAGAAATCAGAACCCCCCCCCAAAAAAAAACAAAACAAAACAAAAACTTTATTTGTCCATCAGAAGTGAATCCGTAACTGAAAACTTTTTTTTTTCTTCGAATTAAATCAACAGAAATAAAAGAAAACCAATTTGCTGTCATGAAAACAAGCATATGCAAAATCAAGCACCAGTGCATAAATTCTGCAAGCTATTAGCTGTTCTCAAAGACGGGCATTTAATGTGCCCATGTACTCCCTCAGGCGCTTGATTATAAATGTAAAACCAGGAGTGCAGGAATAAGGAAAGCTGTGAGTGTTGTGTCAGTTCCTTTATGTGTGTGTATTAAATTCATTAGGCAGTCTTCCTGAAGCCAGCAGGGTCAGTCAGTGTGTGAGGGATTTTTTCTATTCAGCAGTCACATAATGTTAACCACAAGGGTATGTGTTAGTTTTTTGAATGGATTAGAAATCACTTCCTCTACATTATTTCAGGATTAGAAAGAAGTGAATCAGCGAGCTCTAGGGTTATCACATGGAGGCTCACGTGTGTTGGGATGGCTTGGTCTTTGAGGATCCTTTGGCCTTCTTTGTTGAATTTTGGAAGTGACATAAATGTTTCTCTGCTTGAGCTGCAGCTGTGGGAAATCCTACGGGTTGAAACCTGATTGGTTTGTTTACGTAGTGATTATAATTTGTAAAAGATCATACACCTCTTCACTTTTTCCTGTAAAAACAAAAATTCAGCCCTGATGACATTTACTTGTAATGTGACAGATTTCCTGGCCTTGTTTTGGGTCAAACTTATCAGAGGGAAGGCTGACAGCAGCACGTCACACAACCAAAAGACAACGCAGCCTGTGTGAACATCCTGAGAGCACAAGCTGGATCTGTGTGAAACCCAGATGAATGCTGAACAGCCTGCTTTACCTCAAATTCTGCCCACATATTATTCCTGTGAAGTTTCCTATGTCATGGTATTTCTGTCACATGGGCCGGTTGGCCAATCATTGTTGGGCTTTTTGTGATGTTGTGTGGTCACGTGGGTCAGCATGGCCAGCAAGGTGCAGTAATTATGCCATGTGGTTTAGTCTGAGGAGGAGCAGTGGGGGCGCTGCATGAAAGCTGAGCTACAGGAGCCTTCTATGTGCCTAAACAGTGAAGAATGTGTCATGTTTGGTGTAAACCATGGACTGACCAGGTTCCTAACCGATAGAGAGCTAAGGGAGGAGTCTCCTCTCTGCACCTGTCCTGCCAGGCTGGTAGGGGGCTCTCGTAGGGGGCTCACATAAGAACTTTCACACTCATTCTGCCCACCGCCCATCATCGACACACATTTTACCCACAAAACTGTCTCACAAATATCCCCCCTGGACTCAACCTCAAACACAGACATGTATTTTGTATCTATACTGAACTTGGGTTTTTGGAGATATTGAACAACTTGACTCTCTATTATATTTTATTATTTTTATATTTTATATTATATTGATATCTATTTGTCATGTCTGACTTTACTAACTGTGCTTCGTGAATGATTAATGTGCATAAGTAAGTTGACTGAAGAGCGTTAATTTATTTGATTGTCTATTCTTAGGAAGTCTTCCTTTGATTTCCGTCCCTCTATATAGTTGTACTTTATTTGCCATGTGTCATTTATTCTACCTCACAATATATGGCACCATCCAAAAGCAACCTCAGTCTCTTGTCCAGTCTCTCCTTGACAGATCCTAGACTTCTGATTACAAGCCTATTACAACGCATTACTGTGTAAAAACGTTACACAGACGTCATGAAATATTTATACAATACTAAGTCTTTGCACCATCTTAGTTCGACATAGTTGCTCAATGTGTCCCTAACACATCGAGCACACTTGTGTGAAGCAGGGTTTGCCTCCCCTTCATGGTTAGGTACTCTCCATAAGGTTTCCATCCACGTGTTCAGAACTGCTTCTTTGCATTGGTCACATGATACACCATCTACATATTTATGAGTCCATGGGCACCTGTCTCAGGAAGATGGTAGTTTTTCCATGGCTGCGATTTTTGATGGTTTATAAACCTTAGAAATACAACACTGATCTAAAAACTTTGTTTATGTTTCTTTTGCACTTGCAGACTATTTGGTGACATTGAAACATGTCTGTAAGTCCTCCCCACTACAGAAACCATGTGGGTGACGATCTGTTCTGGTCAGCCTCTGAATAACAGTCCCCTCACATGCTTGCTTAAGGCGGAGGAATCTCCCCTAAAGCTATCCAGTCACCCTCCAGTTTGGGGCCTGTTTCTGCTAACTGACTGTTAGCATGCTTGATAGCCTGAAAAAGAACAGAAAGTGTTGCTCTAAAATGTCAGCGCTGTCAAAACACCGTCATGTGGATCAACATTGTAAATATGCATGCCACAATAGCTGTGTTAACCCTCACAGATTTAGCTGCTACTCCTGTTCAAGTAATTCCAGTGATTAAGATAGATAGATAGATAGATAGATAGATAGATAGATAGATAGATAGATAGATAGATAGATAGATAGATGCTTTTTTTCCTGGTTTTGGTCAGGGGATTTTCTTTTATTCATCATTTTTCTCAAGACACTGTTAGACCTGAAGTGATTACTACATCAAACTGATGAAAGTGTTTCTGTATTTTATATAGTCCAGAGAAAGTCATTTAATTTTGTAATGGTCCATATCAAGTCAGTGTCATTTATCATAATTTCACTTACATATGACAAAGACAAAAAACAAAACAAAAAAAAAACACACATTTTCTAAAAAGTGTGTTTCTCATGTTTCCAACTTTAAAAAACAGGCTCTATACTTCCAGTTTCTTGTTTCAGGTTTAAGTTGGAAAACTAAAAATCAAAACCTGCTTTCACCGCATACAGAGAACTGTGTTCGATTCAATCTTTTTTATTGCAATGACATCACTTACTTGACTTTATCCACTTTATTCCTAGCTCCCATGATGCTTTGTGTAAATTACTGGTGCGTCTTTTGATGGCTTTTGTCACTGGATGTGGAGCTGGCATTTTCCATAGCAACTGTACACCAATCACTGTTATTAGAGTGATCAGATGTTAAAACAATATGGGAACATCATCTGTCCCTGTTTGGAAACCAGGTGTTTTAGTCTGGACTTGAAAGCACAACTGGAGGCAGATGAGGCAGTTAAGTAAATTTACTGAAGGCAAAAAGGTGGAGAGGAGGGATCCAGGGTCCATGACATGGGGGGAGTGAGGCAGAGGTGGAGGTTTGGTGGTAGCACTGAAGGCTCATGGAGGCACTGGGATAGATGGAGGGAAAACTAAATTAATTACCTGAAAAACACAAAAGGCTGGAAAGCTCAAACAATTTGCAAATTTGCACGAGAGCTCTCGGAAACTGGCTGAGATACCACATCAGATGCTGGAATAATCTGGCACTGGAGGAGCATCACAGCAGGGCTGAAGTGCAGGTGGTGATTGCAGTAATCTGGTGCAGGTAGAGCCAGTGCAGAAGAAAGCTGTCCAATCTCTGTGAGGAATAGAGAGACAAACTCCACACAAGAAAAGTCCAGAAATGCCAAACCATGTTGTAACCACCACAGTTACACCTTAAACAGGACAATGTTACCACTGCTGCCCTCCTCTATCGAGGGATAGAAAGGTGATATATTAAATGGCCTGAAATGACAAATACTAGCATATGTAGCCAGGTTTTTAGCCCCATTGCTGTCAATGGGGAGGCTGAGGCTTATCTGTACTTATATGGCTACAAAGATGGTTGTGTTCCATTATAAGAGGTTGGACATGATCTTATGTAGAGCAGATGTAGAGCCAAGTCAGAGCCTGTGGAAGGTGTGTTAGTATTTTGGCAGATTTTTACTCACTAATCACACACAAAATCATTAAATAAATACATTTTTAATCACTGTGACTGTATTTAACACAGGAAATTCTCTAATGTAGGTATATTTCTCATGTGTTTCATTTCCTCATTGAGCCCTTGTGATGCTGTTTCCTGTTTTCTTAGTTCTTTTACTTATTTAATATTTTAAATTCATAATAATAATAATAATAATAATAATAATAATAATTATAATTATTATTATTATTATTATTATTATTATTAGTAGTAGTAGTAGTAGTAGTAGTAGTATTACAGCTCTCGTTTACCTACGATAATATGAATTGGATAGTGTGTATGTGTGTGGCGCGGTCTCTTGTTATTAATTTCCTTTTCTTTTCATGTTCTGCACTTAACGCTGGATTATTATTGTCTGAAAAGTGCTTTATAAATAAAGTCTGATTGGTGTATGAGTTTCATCTGTCAGACAGACACAGTCTCTGCAGGTTTCTTCAGGTTTAGATTTAGGAGGGGCATCAGGTAGCACCACTGTAGTCACCTAGCAGCAGGTCAAACATAGTGGTGCGACAGTAGTAAACCAACTGCTGCAGTATAAATTCTACATAATGAACCTTTAAATCTTGAGACAAGTGGGTTTAAAAATGCACACTTAACCAAAGCTTGGTTTCATTATCTGACTGCAGCAACAAACGAACAGCTTGTTCGGACCTTGGAGCTCTTGTTTGGTTGATCAGGGGCCTGTTCTACGAAGCAGGTTCAACCTAGCAAGGTAGCCTTTGAGCTTCCTCGCTCAACTTAGCGCGGTACCCAGCGGTCTCGCTAAGCGGTTTTACGACGCTGGTTATCAACCTCATAAGTGGATCCAGCTCTGCTATGAGCGCGTGCACACATATAAGGCAGAGCCCGCCGCATCTGACCAATCACGAACATGGATCAGTCTGGAGCGTCAGAGCAGGACGGAGAGTGAAGGACCGCAGACTTTACAAACGAGGAACAGGAGACCATCATGAGAAAGTATGAAGAATTGAAAGCTATCATAAACCTCAATAGCAACACCGTCGCCGCCGCAAAAGCACGGAGGGATTGCTGGCAGAAAAGTAATCTTTGATGTCATTATCACCCTGAAATAGCACTGTTCAACATGCGCTTTTAACTAAGGTGACAGTCCCCGAATTGGATGATCTGTCCCCGGCTAAAGCTGTCCCCGAAAATGTCCCTGATTGAAGCGTTTCATGAATGAGAACAAAAATGTTGCACGTGGGCTCGAACAACGGTTATTACAGTGGGTAGGAAGCACAAGTAAGCAGTCCTGAACAACAGTATTTACGGGGGTTATTATAAGGGGCGTGCGCTGCTACTAAATAGTACCGAGATGTTGTCTGTGATCTCGCAGCCCATGCCCATTCATTCCCAAGATGAATCATTCATGTGTTCATTCCTATCGTGTTTACATGTTTTGTGTAATATGTCAGCCATATGAGCCTTTCATAAAGGTTGTCATCCGGAGAAAACTCTCCCTGAAAACTCTCGCGAGCCGGAGTGCTCCTCCACGGACAATGCGAGCACCGAGGTCTATAGGATCCTCCAAGAACGGACACGCCGTTTTTCGAGAGAGCTCATTGGTCAGTGGGCGGGGTTCTTATACTCTTTGAGTTCAATCTGGAACTTAACCTGCCCTGGAGCAGGTTAGCCGTTCAGCGTATATTGCTATGGAGACTCGCCTCGCTAAGAAGTGAACCCGCGTCGTAGAACAGGAAACCCCGAACTTATCCTCGAAGTTACCTCGCTAAGCAGTAATCCTGCTTCGTAGAACAGGCCCCTGGTGTCCCTAGTTGGGGTAAAAAACAATATTCGGACCAAATAGGCTCCAAATGGAAAAAGGGCAATGGTGTGTAGAAAAGCCCCATCTTTCAGGGAGGACTATTTGAATGACTTAAAAAACATAAATGATTTTAATGCAACGTTTCATCCACTAAAGTGAATTACATTAAGCACTTTTTATGCAGTAAGGTGATGAAATGTGACATGGTCTTTATCTAAATGCTTCCCTCTGTTCGTTTCTTTCTGTCTCCCCACACTTTGCCGTAAAGGCGACACAGAGCGTTCTCTCACCTCACTTGTCAGCTGTGCTTTTAAAAGCACATTTGAGGTCAGTCAGGAGGCTTAATAAATATGAAAAGGAAGAAAACTACAAAATGGATGACGAGGCAAAGTGAGCCGGTAGCTAAAACAGCAAGTCACCCTGCTGGACAGCTGAGCTAGCAATGAAAAGAAAAACATGGCTCGATGGAGGAGGAAGAGCAAGGGAGAGAGAGAGGGGGAGAGCTGGAGAGGTGGGTAGAGAGAGAGAGAGAGAAAGATGTCGAGGGAGGAAAAGTGTGTGTGTGTGTGGGGGAGAGAGGGAGTGTGTGTGTGTGTGTGCCTATGTGTGAGCAAAAAAGAGAGAGGTGTACCTGAAGATGCTGACCTCATATTAAAACTCCAGTTGATGGGTAAGTGGATTTTTATACTTTACTATTCAGTAGAACAAGATTCATACACTGTAAAAAGTGAGGAGGTAAGTATTCTAGCCCAAACCTAAAACAGTCGACTTTGTTGTAAAAGATCTTTTTAATCCTCTCTAAACTGTTTTTCAATCTGGAGTACGGATCGGTGAGAGGAAGACACTGAGACAACACCACTTTGTGATTTTATCTTGTACTTTATTAAGGGTATTATTTGTCTGTGCAGAGTCTGAGACCTCGAGAAGAACCAACATACCAAATATCCAAAGTTAAGTCTGAATGGTTTATGCGGTCAGCCCAACTCCAGTCATAGTCCATAATACTGACCCTGTTTTAGAGTCTTTTTAACCAAAACCCACTGGAAGTTTCTGTGTTAGAGAGGATTTATGACAGTAAACCAAGCAGGACGTTCAATCTTTTTTTAAAGCCATGGTTCAGGAGGAACAATTGCCGAATCATCAACTTTATGAGCGAGTTAGGAGAGCGACTGCAGACATGAGCAGAAATAAATGTATGTACAAGTACAACACTGTGAGAGAGTCCTGTGGTGCCAGCTGTGTTATGAAACCTACAATCCTTAAATAGAACTGTATAATCAAATATTATTAAACAAGTTCTCACATTATATAGTGTTTACAAAATGTTCCATTTGTTCAATTGATTTTTATTTATTTACTTTGATTGCACTGATCTTAATCTTGCTCACATCTTGTATCCTGTGTACACTTTGTTGTATTTCATGGCAGCAGCTAAAGAGAAGTTGAGATTTTACATCTCTCTCCATCCAGCTCTCATTGTTTTACTGAATTCAGAATAATTCTGTGACCCAGTTTAACCTTCCTGTGACCTAGCTGCAGGTCCTGACGGAGTCTTTAAAAAGCTTGAGTGCAGAGGACTGAGCTGTAGCTATAAAGACAGAAACTCAAAGAGAACTTTGACAGCTAACGGCAGTGTCGTCATAACCACTGCATCCTGACTGCTGCGAGGACCAGCGACCAACAGCTCTAAAAAAAATGACGTTATGAGAGGACACGTCACCTAACAGACAGGAAAATCCTTAAAAAAAGTCAGTTTAGTTTTACAGTTCAAGTTTAGCTTCATTGTTGTTGCACCGTCTACAACCTGTTTTATTGCCAAAGAGGGAGCCTGTGGATCTGATTATGGCTACTGAGTCCTTTCTTAGCACCTTGACCAGATCTCCACATTAACACTGTAGCTCTTGGCTCCCAAGTGTCTGGAGTTGTCACTGAACACTGGCCAATGTGCAGGTTCATAATAGCAGGGTTTCAATGCAGTATTCTTTGAGTGCATTTTACACTTCGCGCTCACTTCTGTTTGACCTGGAGACCAACAGTGGAGCTACTTCCCAGCAGTATTTTGCCGTAAGAGGTCAAGAGGCAGACCGCCTCTGTCAGGAGTTAGCAGCTGTTTTACACCTCATGTGGAATGTGGCTTGTTTTTGACTCTATCTTTTGCAATAACAGTGGGTCACTGTCTGATGAATTTGTAACCTGGATCGTAACATCATGCTCCATGTGTCCTCAAATGCTCAATTATGTCAGTCGTAAGATTCTGCCATCAACACAGGTTCTGGCGAGCAAGAGACCTGCAGCATTAACATGTGCCTTCTGTGTCCACAATGAGACTCCATCACTTTTTTAAAACACACAATAAATTTACAACAAACACATTAATAGACAAGAAGAAAAAAAATGAAAGAAGAGAAAGCTGTTGCAGGGCGGCCCTGGTGTGGTTGGTTTCCTTGACAACCAAGGGGCGAAGCGGCAGCAGACTATACATATGCTTTCGAGGATCATGACGAGTGGCGAGAAAAATGTTGCATGGACAAGTGGATGGAGCGGCTGATCAGCAACTTGGCTTGGACATCATCTGGTGAGATATTAATAGACTTACTGTTGAAGATGTAATGGAAACACTGTGTTCACAAAGACTCATCTCTAAAGGCTGTATGCAGTAGTTCATATGGTTTTTGCTGAATTTCTCTCGGTATTTCTGGGATTTTCTCCACTTCCTGGAACCACCACTTGTGCAGTAGTTTTGTACGCATTTAGTGGGAGAGTTGCTGTGATGAGACTCAGCTTAAACAGTGTATCCCCCCAGTGGGCTACGCAATCTTCATAGGCCCAGAGGCTGTATCAAGTGTCAATAAGAGAAAACATGAACCCCCCCTAATAACTTTTAAAATTCTAGCTGAACAGAAAAAAGAGGACTTGAGCACAAACCAGTTTTATGGTAACTACATGTCAACATCGCAACCAGGGGGGAGAAACATTTATATTTTGTGTAATAAATTTCTAAAGTCTGTCCACAGCTCCATAAGGATTGCTGGAGGAGGTGGAATTCATGATCTATACTGCAGCCCATCACCAGGGTGGCTTCACCCAGCGAGGAGGCAGACAGTGTCCATTCTATATACAGTTTATGGCCCAAACATGTTGAGAGTGTGACCTGGAAGTGTGAGTTTGAAAGTAAACATATTCAACCATTCTGAGTTTAAAAGTGTCCGCTTGGCCTTATTGCACAGTTACAGTAAATAAATAAAAAAAAGACAGTGTAAAAGACAGTTAAGAGATAAGTTGCAACTACATCTGCGCATTCAGGATCTTAACAGATGTTGGGATAAAAGAGTGTTTAAAACGGTTAAGCCTGCATCGGGGGACTCTGAATCTGCTCCCAGAAGGAAGCAGCTGGTACTCTGCATGGAGGATATGAGTTGGATCAGACAGAATTTTCCGTGCTTTTGTCATGATGGATTGTTCAAAAATAGTTTGGAGAGGGGTGTGATTTTTAACATTCGTTATTTTCATTGCCTGTTGTACCAGATGATTTAACTGTCTTCAGCTGTACGGACAAGTTACCGTACCAGGCTGTGATTCCGTACCTTAAAATACTCTCCAGAACAGCATGGCAGAACAACAGCATGACCTTGTGCTCGACACCAAAAACTCTCAGTCTGCGCAGGAAATACAATCTCTGTTGCAGTCTGGAGCAGAGACTCTCCATGTGGGCCCTCCAGCTGAATGTGTCATCAATGTGAACTCCCAGATATTTATGGGAGCTGACCTGAGTGATGGGTTCATTGTGGATGACCACTGGTCTCAGGTCATCCACGGCTTTGTGATTGAACACCATCTCTTCGGTTTTCTTTACATTTAGCATTAAATAGTTGGAGTCACACCATTGAACAAAATAACAGATCTCAGAATGGTAAGCTGCTGGACTTTTATCTTTATGCAGCAAACCAAGGATGGCGGTGTCATCTGAGGATTTGATGATGTAGTTTTCGGGGTGGACTTTGATGCAATCATTGGTATATGACGTAAGGAGTACAGGAGAGCTGACACATCCCTGGGGGGCACCAGTTCTAGAGAGTCTGGGCTCAGAGAGGACATTGTTAATTCTAACGTGCTGCAGACGGTTGGCTAAAAAAGACATGAACCATTTCAAATAAAAGGATTGACATTCATGTTCTTCAGTTTCTCGATCAGTAGATGTGGCTGTAGTGTATTAAACGCTGAACTGAAGTCGACAAACAATAAATGAACATAAGCTTTGGGGTCTTCCAGATGTTTAGTGACAATATGAGTAACGCTGTTAATGGCCTCATCTGTGCCACGCCCCTGCTTATATGCAAACTGGAAAGGATCAAGCAGTGAATGCCCTCCTTCTTGAGTAATGACACTAGGATTCTTTTTAAACATTTGATCACGTTAGAGGTTAAGGCGACAGGATGGAAATCATTGTTTTCCCTCGGACAGAGCCTTTTCGGTACAGGTGTTATAATTGATTTCTTCCAGAGGGTGGGGACAATGTGTTGATCGACAGATTTCTGAAAGATGGGACAGAAGGCAGGAGTCAGCTCCTCTGCACAGATTTTAAGAAGAAAAGTGGAGATGCCGTCTGGCCCTGTGGTTTTTTTAGCGCAGCTGTGTTTAAAAAGTGACTGAACCTCATCAGGGTCCATAAACACTCTGGCGTCCTGCTCACTAACACATATGGATTTTAAAACATTGTCACTTTCAAAAGAGAAGTCATAACTTTCAAATCTCATGAAAAGGTTGTTCAGTTCATTTGATTTTTGCAGGTCATCGGGAGTGCTGATACCCTTTTTGGCTAGGGTCAAATTAGTGATGGCTTTCATAGTGTCCCACAGCTTCTTGATGTTCGTAGCAGGACAGTTTTGTTTAATGATTTCCTTATGTCTGTTCCTCGCTTCTCTGAGCTTGCAGTTGAGTTCTTTTTGTAGTTTCCAGTTGCGCTCTGTCCCGTTTTTTGAAAGCCATCTTTTTACGGTTAATACACTCTTTAACCTCTTTGCTTATGTAGATTTTGTTGTTTGGGTACAGAGTTATTTCTTTAGGAGGTATAACATTGTACATGCAGAACTGAATATAGTCTGTAACAGTCTTAGCAGCATCATTCACATCCATCTCGTAAAAGATGCTCCACTCAGTCGACAGAAAGCATCCCCTCTGAGCTTCAATGCTGTCACTGGTCCAGTTTGGACAGTGGGTTTGTGGTTTGTAGCATTTGAGAGCAGTTCTATAAGTGGGTATGAGATACAGCGTGTTGTGATCTGAATTTGATAATGGAGGTTTGGCCTTGCCCACGTATGCATTGTTGACATTGCCATAGGATTTGTCCAGTATTTTATCCTCCCGTGTGCCACATTTGATGTACTGTTGGAAACCTGGGAGTGCTAACTCCAGTTTACAATGGTTAAAATCTCCTAGAATAAAAACAGGTGCCTCTGGGGTGTGTAACGGTTGATTGTGGACTCAGCCAGTGATTTGAGCAGCAGCACTTGCAGTGTTGCCGCTGGGTGGGACATATACAGTGCAGAGGATGATGCACCCGAACTCACGGGGTAAATACATTGGTCTTAGGCTCAAACACATGAGTTCCACATCAGAGTTGCACAGGGTCTTGCAGAGTGTGTACTGTCTGCACCACTTGTCATTGATAAAAACACAAACTCCTCCACCACGGCTTTTCCCCGAAGCTTCGCTCCTGTCGGAGCGGATGAGGGAGAAACCCTCCAGTTCACATTCTGCATCAGGGATATTCCGGTGGAGCCATGTCTCAGTAAAAACCAGCAAGGATGCCTCACGATACTTGCGGCAGACTCTGGTGTTGATGTGCAGATCGTCCATTTTCCACTGCAGCGTCCTGACGTTGTCGAGGATCATGGAGGGCAGGGGTGGTCTGTTTCTGGCGGATTCCTCCTCTCCTTCCCCTTTTCCGGAGCCATGTCCTCCTTGTCACCATTCGGATGATATCCTCAGGCAGGTCGGGGGGCGACAGGAGTCCTGTGGGTCCTAGAGCCAGCAGTGCTCCCCTGCTGTATGGGGGAGCTAGGTTGTTGTTACCCCCATGTGCTGGCATTGTTTGGCATGGCAAGAGGAGTCCAACGATGATGAAAAGTGCTGATAAAAGTTGTGCCAGGGACGCCATTCCGTACAGCGACAACATAGAAACAGACTTAAAACGAATAAAACATAGAACTGCAGCACACTGCAGGAGGAGTCCAGGTCGCTACAGTGCAGCGCCACCGGAAGTTACCAGTGTGTGTTGGTAATTGAAAACAGAGGTCACCTGTGAGCATCAGTGTTTGAGTCTGCAGTGAAGAGCAGAGTTCGTTGAACTCATCATGATACAAATCAGACCTCTTAATGGGCAATAACAGGTCAAAATATAATTAAATAAATAAATAAATAAATAAATAAATAACTGGCCTGTAACTAGTAGTCCTTCCAGAAAGTCCCAGAGCCTCAGTTTGAGCAGCAGTCTGATGTCCAGGGTTGTAAATAGTTATGTATGACTTTCATGTGTGTTTTTGTGCACGTTTGTTAGAGCTCTAAGGTTTCATCATGTAGACAGTACAGGAGCAGGAGAAAGACGCTGCAGCGACACTTAAGATGCTGCCAAGTTTCAACATATCTATTTATAAATGCACAGTTGGTGTTTGGCAGGGCTGGACTTGAGTTTGAGATCCTGCATGTTTCTGTGCTTTTAATATTGATTTTTTATTATAAGTCATTAAAAATGACACAAAAAGAAGTCTGAGTATGCCCAGAGGCCCTAATGGTCAAGTGTACGTTTTTAGGCAGCTATGACTCAGTGGTAAATCCAGGTCCTGCCATCCACGGGGTGCTGAGAAGTGCTTTTCAACAGCAGTCCTTAGTAAAGACCCTTAACCCCAACCCACCCTCGTGCATATCAGCGTCTGCCATCAGTGTGTGAACGTGGTGTGAATGGGTGAATGTGACATGTGAAGTCAAAGAGCTTTGAGTGGACAGGAGACGAGAGAAGGTGCTGTGTAAAGACCGCCCATTTACTGTTTACGGTATGTCAAAGTTCTGTAAGTTTTTACTCACACAAGTTTGTTTCGTTGACTGGACCAAAAATGTCTGAGTCAGAGTGGAACACACAGATCGCTCTGTCATATCTCGCCTCTCTCAAACATTAACAGTCATTTCTGGACTCCTGTAATTCTCTGTATCCCTGTCTATCACAGCAGAGCCTATATAAACACAGCTAGTCCAGAACATGTCAGCCAGACTCCTCACAAAAACAAAACAGAGCTGATCAGCCCTATTTTAGCCTCCCTCCATTGGCTCCCAGTTCATGTAAGAGCTGATTTTGAGATCTTAATGAGAACTTTATGAGCCCAGTCGCATCCTGAGGTCCCCAGCCAAGGTCTGCTAAAAACTCTTCAGTGCAGGCTAATGACCAAGGGGGACTGGGCCTTTCTGTCTAAAAACTGGAACAAACTGCCCAAGGAGATCAGACTGGCAGGTTCCTTATCCTCTTTTAAAACTACTTTAAAACCCATTTTTATAAGTGTGCTGTTACTGGAAATAAATCTCAAAGGTGGGGTAGGCACACCAGTTGTGAGAAGAAATCTTGAATGTAAACACTACCCCTCCCCTCAGCTCCTCCTCTCCCTTCCCTCTCTGCTCCAGGGAGCCCCGCCCACAAAACAGACATTCGTGCATGCTCACATCGCTCCAGATAGTCTGAAGCATTGAAGCATGTCTGATTCTGGGGTAAGAAGACTTTAAATCACAGCTCACATCTGATCTAAAATTTCTTAAATCGCATATGGTCCTCCATTGTTCAAACTACGTTGATGCTTATTCTGGTCCTATTTCTTGCCTGGTCTCTCTTCTTCTTGAGAGCCTGTTTTTTTGGCTACAGTCCTCGTTATTTTGATCTTTTTCTTTGGAGTGTTGGTAGTAATGACCAAAAGAGGAAATAGTTTTTCTCCAGCTTCTTCAGCTGTTTTCCACTGTCTGTCATTGAAACAAGATTGTTTTGGGTCCGCTCATGCACGCACTTTGTAGTTGTGTAGTCAGCCTCTCAACCAATCAGCACGAAGTAGCAGGGCCACCTCACAACCAATCAGGTCAGGGAGGTGAAGAACGGCTTTGTTTACAGTCAGAATGAGCGGGATGCTCAAAATTTTTTAAATGTTGAGTACACATGCCTAAGAGAACACAGCGCTATCATGATATTCCCCAAATGTCATCAATAACTTTTTTGTATATATATATATATACACCACAAAAAAAGATGCTTCTTTAACACAATCCTGCCTACCCCACCTTAAACCTAGCTCTTAACTCTTGGCTTTTAATTCAGC